ATAGAGAAAAGAGCACAGCACTGGGAACCAGCCTTCACTTTATCAGCAAACAGTCATTCAGCATTTATTGTATGTCAGGCATCAGCCTAGAGATACATCGTTAAACAATGCAAACAAAAATCTCTGTCCTCATGAAGTTGGCATTCAGGTAGGAAAGGATAAACAAAAATCACATAACGTAATAAGCAAATTATTAGAAGATTTCAAGTGCTATGTAAATGAGTAAATATTTAGGTTATAAGTGTTATGAAAAAAAGCAGTAAAGGGGATCACGTAAATATGGGAGGGCAAGTTCCAGTTTCAATAGAGTGTTTACGGCAGGTCTAATTATGAAGGTGTTAAAAAAGCAGCCATACAACTCTCTAGGGAAATTTACAGCCACAGGAAACAGACCCCATTTAATTCTGACAAAACAATCTTGCAAAAAATACCCCATTTTGCAGATGAGTTAATTGCGTCTCTGACTTGATTTAAGGAAACAGAGCTAGTCAGTAATAAAGCCAGGACTAGATCCCAGGTTTGTTGACTTGGGGTCCAGCGCCATTCTTCTGTTTTGTGCCTTTGTTCACGAGGCAGAGAAGGTGCTCTGTTTCCTATAACACACTGAGTAAACGTAAAGTGTCATCACTGTTGTGGTTGTTGTTGCTATTATTATTATTACTTAGGTCCTCTGATATTTCTTGAAAAGTAGATATAAAGCTCTAATAATTTCATTTTCCCTTTCCATGGTTTATTGTCTCCTTCCTTTAAATGTTCTTTTCTTAGATGGATCTTTTTACTATCAGATATCAGTTAAAGTAATTATATTTCTTTGGATACTTGAGAAAGGAAAGGTGTTTAGCATTGGACGAAGCTATAAAATAGAAAGCATTCATGACAACATGAAAAAGAGCTGATGAAAAAATGGAGACAACAGTGATTTCAGGAGAGAACTATATTTCTCAAGACAGGCAGGCAGGGAGGGAAGAAGGGAAGTGGGAGAAGCTTTGAAACACATTAGGACTAGAGCCCCCAGCATCAAGTTACTATATGAAAATGATGAATCTGGCTTTAAAGAAATAAATTTACAGTAAAAATGTTAAAAACAAAGAGACCATAAAAGAGGAAGCCTGTGGAAAAGGCAAGAATAGTGGAAAAGGGTCTGGTGAGGAAAGGAAAACAGACAAAGATATTTTCAAGTAAAAATATGAGAATATTCTACAATAAACAATATAAAAAAAGAGTAAGAATCAGATTTCAGACACAGTAGACTTGAGAGCTGGTGGAATTACTAACAGCAAAAGGGAACAGAGAGGAGAGTCTGAAAGATGAGCTTTCTTTTCGTAATGCTAGGTTTAAGGTGGCAGTAAGGTTCTCAAGAGTGGAAAGGGTCTAGTAGATAAGACGTAAATTTGGAAGATGTGTATCATTTAGAGCTGTTCTGTCCAGTACAGCACCCTTAGCATATGTGGCTATTGAAATTGTGGCTAGCCTGAACTGAATGTGTTGAAAGTATAAATAGACACCAGATTCTGAAGATTTCATATAAAAAAATGTAAAATATCTCCCTAATATTTTTTTACATAGATTACACGTTGAAATAATATTTGCATGGATTGGGTTAAATGAAAAATATTAAAATTAATTTCACCTGTTTCTTTTTACTTTTTAATGTGACTACTAAAAAATGAAAAATGACTATGTGGCTTCACTGTATTTCTACTGGACACTGCTGACTGATATGGAGCAATACTAGATATGTATTAGGGTCACATAAGGGGAAGGGAACTATGAGGTTAATCACAGACATCATCCTGACGTGTCTCAACTGAAAACAGATACAGGAGAAAAAGAACACGTCATTATAATAGTTAATATTTACTGAGCACTCTAAGCATTATGCTAGACATGTTAAGTGCATCACCTTGTTTGTTCCAACAACCTTAGAAAATATTAGTCTTCTTTTACAAAAGAAAAAACTCAGGCCTAAAGAAGTTAATCTGCCCAAGGTCACATAGTTAACTGTTGGCATTGGGATTCAAACTCATGACTGACCCAGATCTCAAGCTCTAAATTGTCATATCATCAATTCCAGAACAATGTATACTCTGCAATTATTACATTGTTAGTTTAAATATAACTATTTAAAAAGCTAACAATTTATTAGAATGGTTCATTGTCTGAGTCAGTGATTTACTAGTGATGTCCTAATTTGATTAAGAGAAAATACAAATGTGTAAATTTGTAACTTTAGTGTTATGAGCTACTGATGTTGGAATATTTTCGCCATGCTGGGCCTAAGCGTTTCCAATGCAACTTCTTGCCCTTTATTAATGTCTACTTCTAAAAATCCGAACCTGTCAAATTAGATGGCACAACAGAGATGATAGTGGGCACAACCCTGAGCAGCCGGGCCCAGTTTTCTAAATATACTTAGACATATGACATGGATCCACTTAAATTTTAAATACTCTCTTTCAAACTAGGAAGGCACCTGAACTTCCCAAACTGTGATTTAAATGTTTTGGATGGAGCTGGATGAAATTGCAACCTTTTGTTGAAGAACTAAAAATTAAACTTACCCAACAGGACACTTTAAAGGGAGATTTTTGTACTCCTTGAAAACGCAACACTTTTGAGGACTAGAAAGAAAAAAATGGCTTGATATTTTGACTGGAATCATAACATAGCTTAATCTCCCACAAATATAAATTGGGATCAAAAGAATAAGGTGTTTTTTATTTATGTTTGGTTGGTTTTAATTTTAAATACAAACTTAAGTTTCTTTCCTTTTTACCTTTAATTTCTACCACCTATCTGGACTAGATGGTAATCACAAAACCACTGAACTTGTATGTGTATAACTACATCATTTTCAGAAACTTGCCCACGTCAATTTTATCAAGCCAATTATATTAAATTATATAAAAACATTACCCCAGGCTTAAAACAAGGATTGCCATCAATTTACACTATGGAAATGGAAAAACAAAAGGGAATTTCAAGGGAAAACGTTTGTTTTGGAATAAGACTAATTAGCAGAGACATAGTGAGACTGTTCATGTTGGACATGGATTCAAAGGGGTGTCTCTCTGACTGACCCACTAATTTATTAACTTAACCCTGACCCTGCCTCATTTTTTTTAAATGAGGTGACTTGGATTTGGACATATTTATAAAAATTACTCCTTTGAAGAACCAAAGTTTCTGAGAAATGCTTATCTAAAGAGGAAGTATCACAATTGTATAGGGTAGAGCTTATAATAGTTTGCTCTTTATTTTGGCTCTTTTGGGTTAATTTCCACAACTCTTCCACACAATTAAGGAGTTATCCTTGGCCTTGTTTCCTTACTCATTACAATTCACAATAATTTGGAACAATGGTTTAGACTGGAACCAGTTAGCCCTAGAAATGTTTTGTCCACCACATGCCAAGGTGTCAAGGGTATGAAGTGACAGACCCAGGCATAATAGATTGCCACTCGATATTCCTATTATTGAGGTCCATCAAATTGACTCCCTTCTTTCCAAGAGAATCCCACCTCTAACTTCACTGAGACTCTCCTCATTACAACTGTCAATTAGATAGATGATCCTTGAAGTTGCATTGCTGATTCCCATTTCTTCATTAGCAGAAAGTATGCTGCTTTATTGGGTTAATTAAAAAAAAACATGTTGAGCACTTAGCATGTGCCAGGCTCTGTTGCAGGTACTAGAAATACAGCAGAGGACAAAATGACAAAAATCTCAACCCTCCTGAAACTTACATTCTGGTGGAGAACACATTCAATAAACAAGTTAAACAAAATCAGTAGTATGTTAAATATTAGAAACTGAAGAGAGGAAAAAATGAAGCAGTCAAGGGGAATAAGAACTGTGGTGGGTGGGGTGGGAAAGGCTGGGATTTTGATAAAGTGGCCAGGAAAGGCTTCACATGTAATAAGGTAGATAGTGTGTATCTGAAAGGATAGAGGGGGCAAAATCTAGGACTGATTAGTGTCAGCTGGAGTGGGGAAAGGACAGGAGGTTAGCATATTTTAACCAGCCCTGAAGTGGACAGTAAACCATATGGGAGGGAGGAGAGGAGCAAAAATAAAATATGGACCACTGAAGACATATGTGGGCTTCACAGTTTGCCTAGGACTGACTGGTCCTTTGAGCATGGCACAACACGCTTTCTCTTTTTTAGTCACAGATCCAGGCTCTGCTGCCAAAACCCTCAAGCAAACCATGGGCTACGGACCCCGACAGACCCCTCACTCCCCCCCCACACACACACTCCACCCTACCCCGGCCCCGAACAGAGCTAATGCCAAGCACAAAGCATTATAAATTCAGAGTCGAACAGTGGCCTGGAAAACTGGGAAAGAGAGGGAGTAATTGCTGGAAAGAACACACCAGAGGCCCCTCCATCCCCGTACACGAATGGAAACCTACCCCCTGACAGCACTGTGCAGACCCAGGGAGGCACTGGCAAGCACACTGACACACCCCCGGGGTTGCAGGCACGGAGCAGAGAGGCGAGGAGGCATGAATTCAACCGTTAGAGCCCAAACCCCAGAATTTCCCTACGCAGGGTCGGTACCGCGCGAGGGAAACGCCGTTCCCCACGCCTGGCGCCGCAGGGTTGTGGGCTGGGAGCGTGTGCGGGGGGCAAGGAGGCAGTGGGCTGCGAGCCCGCAAGGCCACCGCAAGAGCGGGCGGTTTCGTCGGGCATCCCTGGCGACGGCCGGCCGCGTGCATGCAACAGGGGACTGGAAGCGAGCAGGCGCCCCGAGGGGCCAGGACGGGACCCGGACAAAGTGCCTGAAACCCGCGGGCCCGGGCCCGCGCGTCCTCAGCCCAAACGTTCACCGCCCCCTCCCCAGACCCGCGCTGGCCCGGCCCGCCGACAGCGACGGGTTCCAGCGGTCGAATCCGCAGCTCCCGCGCCGCCGCCCGCTCGGCCCCTTCCCGCCCAGCGCGTCGGTGGAGAGAGAAAGAAAGAAAGAGCGGCGGCGGCCGTGCGCGGTCCCACTCACCATGATCCCCGGCGGCGGCGCGGCGACCCGGCGGGCGATGCGCTGTCCAGGGTAGCCAGCGTCCCTCTGCCCCGCGCTCCGCGGCGCCCGCTCGACTTACCCCCACCCACGCCCACGCCCAGCGCGCGCACGCCGCCCGCCCGCCCGCGCTTCCCCGCCCCCTCGGGCTCGCGCCACTCCCGCGCGGCGCTCGGAGGCTCAGGGCCGTTTCGGGCCCCCGCCGCTCTCCGCCCCCTCCCCTAGCCGTGGCCTCGCTGGCCGCAACGCGAGGAGGGCAGCAGGGGAGAGGCCGGACAGGCGAGGCGGTGGTCCCGTGCGGCCTCGCGCGCCCCCTCCCGGGAGCCCGGCTTCCCCTGCGCGGCCGCGGCGCCCCCTGCTGGGAGGGCGATGATTTGCAGGCCCAGCTGGCTTGTGCCGCGCGCAGCAGCTCAACGTTAGCGGAGCCTCGGCGAGGACCAGCTCTCCACGCGCCTCTGTCCTGTCCCCTGAAGGCTGCGATGGCTGCGGAATCATTGGGGGAGGACCAGGATGTAGAGGGCCAGGACACTGGTCCTGCTATTAGTTGGGCTCCGTGGCTTTCAAGCACACGGTGAAAGGAGAATCGCTCTTGCTCATGCACGCTTGCAGGATGTGGGTGGTTTAGATATAAGGATCAGCCAGGTTCCGTTAGGGATGAGGTAGAGAGCTGATCAGTCTAAGCAGGAGATTCCCCTTCTTACACGATGCTATCGCCACAGGATTTTATTCCAGGGGCTAATGCCACCAATGGTTATTTTAACACTTATTTGTGAACAGAAAAGTATGGGATCTTAGATCCTGGGCTTTTAATTTTTAATTTTATTTTTGTCGACCAAGGTGAAAGAAGTCAGGAAAGGCAGACGTGTGAGTGTTACGTGACCTTTACTCTTTTTTAGTATTAAGAATGTGTGGGGATTTTTTATTTTTATTTATTTTTATTTTTTATGTGGCCAATGAGGTAAACTGAAATGCAAGCCAAGTAAACATGTTTATTGGAGTCAGGAATATCGTATATGGATGTCCTCAGAGGAACCTGCAACATAAACTGAGCATTTCACACTTGAAGTAATGCACACATATGTGCAGTTTTGTAAAGTAGCAGAGTGAATAAACAGAGTGACAGGTCGGCTGGTAAAGGAACATGCACAGTCAGGCAAGTTAAAGTTTTATTGTGAGAGCGAGAACGTCTATCTGGCGGAGCAAAGAAGGCTACAGCCCGGACTGCGTCTAAAGAGACTACAGACCCGAAGGAGGAGGTGAGGAGGGTTTTATAGGGGCGATGCTGACAGGGTAGCATTATTTGAACAGAAAATGCTGACTGCCTGCAAGCCAGTAGCTGTTTTGTGGCGTTTTTTGTTATCGTAAGTTTGACTCTGTCTGCAGGTGCAGGCTAACAGACATTTTGTTGTTTTCTTGCAGACATGTTTCTATAAGTCAAGGTCTCTGAGACCTAACATTCAGAGATCTAACACAGAAGTGCCAGGTCTAAGTCTTAATTATCATATGATCACCTAATATTTAGAGTTTCCTATGGTTGGAGTGCTCATCAGGTACATATGTATTTGCTTATAAGGGGTGGGTAACTTTAGACCACAAACAGGTAGGTATTTGTTAACCAAGCCTCATTAAATCTCATTGTCAGTGGGCTTGGGAATCAGCCCTGTCACATACTGGCTGTGTGATATTGGACTAGTTACCTAACCCCTCTGTGCTCCCATTTCCTGATCTATAAAATGAGGATAAAAATAACATTTATACTACATATTATCATTAGGATTAAGTTAATGTGGGTAAAACACTAGAAAAATGCCTCGTGCAAAATATTAGTTATTGATATTATTGATCTGATGCCTGTGGGAATCAGAAAGTGATATTCTATTTAATGCTGGCATGTTTTTATAAAAAATGTCCATATGGCCAAAACCAAATATACAATTTGATGCCAATTCCAGTCATTCATTCACTTTGTTCATTCAACAATATTTGGATGCATCCATTGTCAGGCATTGTGGTAAGAGCTGGGAATACAAAAATCGACACACAAACATGGCCTCTGCCATCAGAATGTATGATGGTCCATATTATGACATCCAGAGACTGGAAGGAATTCACCCAAATATTCACCAAATATTAAGTGTCCCCCCTCACCTCCCATAGTGGTATTAGGGAATGATTTTTTTCCTTTTATTTTTTTTGTTTTCATTTTCCAGATTTTGTTTTTATATGTGTTATTTTGTATTTTTAAAGCCGTTAACATAGCTTCCACATTATTTGAATATTTTTAAATTAATTAATTAATTAATTTTATTTTATTCATTTTTTTATGAGGGTAAAAGGGATCAAATATATAATGATGGAAGGAGAACTGATTCTTTGGATATTGAATGATAAAAATAAGGGATCTGAATTTCACTGCATCATTCATCTGATGTAGTAGAATGTGAATTCTTAATCCAGATAGCGACGCCCAGACATTATTGTGTATAAATTGCACATCAGGAGTTAATCAACTGCAGACACCTGGAACCCATCCAGGTGGTCTCAGGTGCAGACCAGGAATACAAATTTTTAACAAACTTCACAAATGATACTGATGCAGACAGGTGGCCGATGGACCACATTTTGATAATTCAAGTCCATTGTCTATTTTGGGAAAGTTCTGGCTATTTTTTTCTAACAACATTAAGGGAGAAAAAAAAAAAGCATGGCAACTAGCCTCTAAGTATTCTGCTGTTTGCTTGCAGGAATTGTGCCATTGAAGTCATCTATACCTTCAAAAGCATACCAGGTTAACATGTGAAAAGAAATCTTAAGCTTTGAATTATCCCTCTACTTTCCCCTACCATTTAGCCTGATAATAGTTATTTTACCTTTATCTAAAAACACATATCAACCTACAGGGCCAGAAGGCAGTTCAAAAAATCACCTATATCTTATCTATTTCCTAAAATATTATTTTATGGCTCTCCTTGTCACAATAAAGGAACAAAAGAGATGGCCAGAGAGTATTTTTTTCCACCAATATTTCATTAAATAGAAAAAGGATGTGGCTGTACCTCTATAAACACAGCACAGGGATAGTACTTAGCATTCTAACCAGATAGAACATGAATTTCAACTTATTATCAATAAAAATATTTTAATATGCCAAAAACATGATTTTATAATATTTTCTTCCCTTATGACTTGTTCTCTTGTATGGATTACACAAACACAGGAATCAGCTCCTGTTTCTTAGCTGTGGGGCATGCCTGCATTGAGCACGTGCATCAGTTAAAGTGCCACAATAACATAATTATAGCCTAATCATGTCTTAGAGACCAGATTCTTACTTTACGCATATATTTTGTACTTTACAGGTAAAGAGAGTCTATCTCAGAGAAGTTAGAGATGACCAACAATTAATGGGTCATAGCACTAAAGCCTGATTTCCTGACCGCTGTCCAGTGTTCTCATTGTCGGTACTGCCTCTCCAGCCCTCTAGAAACAGACTCTGGAAGTTGCATCCTTTCCTTGGCCATATACTCCGCCTTTGTCAAAAGAAAGCTCTGTATCTATGAGTTTAGAAATCCAACATAATAAGGTGAAGAGTAAAGCCAAGCAAGGTCACACTGGCACAACTAGGTTACCTCCACAAATTCAGTGCCCCTTTGACTCAGTATTATCAGGGCTAAGGATTTATGTCAAAGCCATGTATGTATCTGTTTTTCATTTGGCTGGACTGGAGTAACAAGTGGACAATCATTACCTTGTATCTGTCAAGGTAAAAAGAGATTTCTGTTCATTCACTCAAACATGTTTACTGAGTGCTATGTTCTAGTACAATGTTCTAGAGCAGGGGTTGGCAAACTACAGCCACAGGCCAAATCTGGCCAGCTGCCTTTTCTTTTGTAAATAAAGTTTTATTAGAACACAGTCACACGCATACATTTACATATTGTCTATAGTGGCTTTCAAGCTACAATGGCAAAGTTGAATAGTTCTGAAAGAAACTGTATGGCCTGAAAATCCTCAAATATCTACAGTTTGGCCCTTTAATAATAAGGTGTGCTGATCTTTGTGGAATCTAGTTGTTACAAATCAGGCCTTGAACAATATAGATAGATCCTTTTCTTTTGTGAAGCTTATATTTTAATGGGAGGGAAGAATACAATCAAATAATTTTAGATAGAGAAGTTTCATGAAGAAATAGTATTATGATAGAGAGTGACTTGGCAGGAGGAGGCACTTCAGATAGGATGGTCAAGAAAGGCCTCTGTAAGAGGATGATAGCTGATGTGAGATCTCAGTGGCAGAACAGGCCAGTATGAAGCCATGAGAAAATCTAGGGGAAATCCTTCTTTATGGAGAAAACAGCAAATGAAAACACTCTGAGACAGAAAAAAATGGGCTTATTTGAGGCACAGGAAAGTGGCCAGTATGTCTGGAGTGTGAGCCAGGGGTTGTAATTGGATGCAAGACGTATCCCTCTCACCTACTCTTGTAGCTAGAGATCCATGTACATGTTGACACAGTGGCCATTAGCCCCTGACTTGAGACCCTACCTTTGAGGACTGCAGCCTTAGGGAGCCTGGCAGGACACTCTCATGTGATGTCTGCTGCAGCTGCAGCCAACTCAGTTCAAGAAATGCTAGTTTCTTGGAGGAGCATTTGAGATCTTGCTCCCTGCCATATGTCATTGGTTTGGGCTCAAATAAACTCTTATAAAAATTAAAAAAAAAAAAGTATCTGTTTGTACTCTAGAATTTCACACAGTCTGGATTTTGTTGATTGTATCCCCGGGGTATAGGTTAACACGTGATCTGACCCCCTTGCCTTTGTAAATTTGGGACTAGCTCTAGAGGCTTGATCAGATTCAAGTTAGAATTTTTTGGGCAAGATTACTTCATAGATGGTAGTGTGTGTTTTCAGCAGGAAGCACATAATTTCTTATTGTCACTCTTTTTGTGATGTTTAGGCATCAGTTGATGCTCAGTGCCTATATCCAGTGATTCATTAGGGGCTGCAAAATTGTGATATTCTAGCTCTATCACTCCTTCTTCGTTTATTAGCTAGGGCACTTCCAGGAACTTTCCT